TTTAACCTAAGAATAAAACTCAATTGTTAATTTTAAAGCCCAATTCCAAATTTTTTAAAGTTTGTTGTTGCTTTTTTTAAAAAGTACCAAATGTGATTCATGACTGCAAAAAAATTGTATTATTCAAACTATATTGCTATTTATAGTTTATTTTCAATTCTTCTATCATCTGAGCTTCTGATATTTGAAAAAATGTGTAAAACCCAGTCTATTGAAATTAGTTCATTAGGACATAAAACAGCTCATTTGACACACAGTTTGGTCATTTCAAGGTACTGATACTTCTGAAACACATTTAAGATCACACAGAATACAGAATGAGGCCAAAACACTGAAATCTTCATTTGGGCTCATGAATATGAGTTATATGTGACTAGACCAAAATTCCAGGCAGTTTAATTTATGTACTTCAACAGAAAGCATTGTCAATGTCATACAACTCTTTCACTCAACAATCTATATTTGAAAAGAAGTAAGTGTTATGTATCTGGAAGAAAACAAAAGCTATGAGATGAGACATAGAATTCAGCCTCGGTGCATAGAAAATATGCCACAAGGAAGAAACAGGAAGCATAGATACAGGCACAGTGGAGTCACCACAAAACTCTAAGTTGCTTCTTTGAAGCAAATCGCCCAAGGAAATGGCCTGATTCTAATTTTGTGTCCACGTACCAAAGAGTCATTCAGAACCCTCCTCTGTCTCCAGAGGGCCCTTCAGACACAAGGGCAGTGGCAGTATCATGGAAATGTTTCCCCCTTGGGATCCACCCCACCTGCTCAGTCATGAAGTGTCTCCTGAAGGATGCCCTGGCCAGGATGCCCTGCTTTGAATAATGCTTTAATTCAATTCTCTTACTTGCCAAGCCAAACGTAAGGTCATAAAATTCTTCTGGGAAAAGTCTGAAGGCTCTACTAACTCGGTAACAGGAACATAGACATGTCTGCTCTTTAAATGTGGGGTGGGATGGGGACCCCGAGGGGTGTAGGAGTTCAAGGTACCCCTCAACTAGAAAAGGAGATCAAAGCAAGGCACAAGGCGACCAGAAACTGGCTAACCACAGTTCTGCCATTCCAGTGAAGACAGTCCAAATGAAAGGTTTCCTCCCTCTGACCCAGATGCACAAGCCCCTCCCTGGTGTTAAAGCTGTGGTCACATGATATGCCTGCTTTGCTCCTGTGAGGTGGGCTCGACGGAATGAGAGGAGGCACTTTTCAACCTCATCAGTCCTGGTAGCCCAGGAATTAGTGTCTTCACTGAATCTTCATACCCCTCAAAGCATCGCAAATCCACCACTGACAAGTTTTCCCAAGGAGGGGAGGCCAGAGAACAGGTTGGCCTTCACTCTGTTCACTTCACAAGAAATTTGTTTTCTGCCAAGAAGCCACTCACCCACCAAGCTATCTGTATGATCCAGTTAGAAGACGCCCTTTCAACGCCATCCAGCTTGCACCTAGAGAACTTGAATAGGGCTGCCTCCCACAGGCTCTCACGTGTTAATGTCACTTAAATACGTGGCTGAAGAGAAGTTCATGGAAAATGGTCAAAGTTGTCCTGACTGCCTTTAAACGTTCTATAGTTTCTTAAGCCGGTACCAGGTGTTTGAAGAACCATGGACACAAAGCCAGCTTGGTATCAGAAAATTGTCTATCTTTTTACAACTATATCCCAGCACTGTTCTGTGTCCTCTGGCAGGTGCTCAATACGTACGTATCAAAAGAATGAACCAGAAGCTTTTATGGTGATGGTATATTTTTGTGGTTTTTATTTTCCTATATTTTAATTTTTTTTATGTTACAGATTTTGCCTGTGTCATGAGGAAAATGTGAGAGGGAAATTGAATTAATGATATTAATATGAACCTTCCTTCCTCTGGAGAGACACCAAGAGTAACCACAGGGCATTCTGAAGTGGCCACACGTGACCCCGGGCAGCGGGCTTGTCTGCCTCAAAGAATGCAGTACTGGCGGTCCCCACAAGCTGACGGGGAGTCGGAAGGCTTGCAAGACCAACCAGACTGCACTTTTGACAGCCTCAGATGGGGTCACAGCTATTCCAGAAATATCAGCAAAAGAGACCAGGACCTAAGAATGATGGTCTCCAACTCCATCCACTTTGCTGAGAAGTGCATGGCTTTTGTCCTTTGTGGCTGTGTAATATTCCATCGTGTATAGGTACCGCATTTTCTTTATCCAGTCTGCTTCTGCTGGGCAGTGGGGTTGGATCCATGTTTTTGCTATTGTGATTAACATGCAGCAACAAACATGCATGTGCAAGTCTTTTTTGTAGAGCAAAATAAAGTTTAAAGAGAGAGAGAGAGAGAAAAAGAGAGAGAGAGAGAGAGAGAGAGAGAGAGAGGCACCAGGAGCCCAAATTCTCAAAGAACAAAGCACTTTCTGGACACAGTAGACACCAGGGATGCCACTACTCCTTCCCGTAACTCTTCCCCATCTGATGTTGTGGCCCGACCCCACAAGTCTTCATGGCACACCTGCCACTTCATAACCTGGTACCTTCCTCACCCCAGCACTGTCACAGCACACCATGATATCTGTCTAAGCCCTGCGTGTGCCCTCAGTGACATGCCTGTCTTCTCCATCTTGACACCAGCTCCACATCAGAGACTGGAGGAGGGAGGGAAGAAAGGAAGGAGGGGGCAGAGTTGGAGCAAACCTAGTCAGACCAAGGAGACACCTGGGGCACTGCCTCCCCAGCTCTAAGGCCTTCACAGACCATGAAGAGCCTCTCATTTTAGTAAGAAATGGAACCTCCCGAAGCCACCGTGCACACATGGACACGGGATACCATAGGCAGCAGCCAGGTGGGCTCCCAGGATTTACAGCACCCCATGAAATGGCTAAGAAGAAGCCAGATGCACTATCTCCAAGCTCAGCCGTGGGCAGGCTCGTAAGGCCCACCTCCCTGGCAGTGCCAAATGTCCTCAGGACACACCTTTTCAACTCCTTAGCTCCCAGCATCAAAGTTTCCTAAGTCTGCTACTATGGATGGGAACATAATCAAAGCAACAGACATAATTAAAAGGACCTTCAGAAGGGGGGCAGGAAAAAAAAAGCCAGAGCCAGTTCCAAGCACAGCCTCCATTCAGACACCCCCTTAAGCCTACGAGTTTTTTTTTTTTAATTAAATTTAAATTTTAAAAATGTTTTCCAGGACCTAAGCTGGAATATAGTTGGAGAATAATGAGAATTCTGGTAAGCATTTCTCTTTTACTGTGGCCCTAAACAGCAAAGAGTAAGTAGAGCTGACAGAGTGTGATGGACCTTCGAGCCCGACGTCCGTCACAAACTGGGGACGCAGCTAGTGGGGAAGACGTGTAAACGAGATTCGTTTTCACTTTCATCTTTTTTTCATTTTTTACTTTTTGTTGTTGCTGTTTTTGAGTCAGGGTCTCACTCTGGCCCCCAGGCTGGAATGCAGTGACATGACCATGACAATCATGGCTCACGGTAGCCTCAACCTCCTGGACTCAGGTGATCCTCCCTCCTCAGCCTCTCAAAGAGCTGGTGCATGCGTATCCCAGCTAATTTTACTTCTTTTAGAGAGGAGGTCTTGCTATGTTGCCCAGGCTGGTCACAAACTCCTGGGCTCAAGCAATCCTCCTGCCTTGACCTTCCACATTGCTGGGATGACAGGTGTGAGCCACCACACCCAACCTTCACTTTCTTCTCTTAAAAAAAACCACAGAAGCGCGTATTTCTTATTTCTGCATGTTCCTCTCTGATGAAGGAAAGGTTATATCAAAATTGCTTTCTAAAAACCCAAGGGCAAAGACAGGCCCAGTGCTATAACAAGCCCAAGACCAGAATCAAACATTTAGGCCACGCTTCTGACATCTGTACCCAAGCCTTCTGTGGCTGGGGTCCATGCTACAGACCTGAATCCCTGGATTTGGGGCTGTGGACTAAAGGAGGCAGACACCACTTATTGCCACAATCCTTCCCCATCCCTCTCTTAAGACTAAAATACCAATGTAAAGCTGTGACCTGCCTGTGGAAACACATAGGTGTTATGCAGCTGTGCTCACTGCACGTACACACACGTGCACCCCAGAGGGGCCTGGGGGCTAAAACCTCTTCCCGGTCCATCTGGTGCCTTCCCCCACCCCTCCCGTGTCAGTGCTCTTTCGTGCAAGTGACCACGAACAGTGGATCTAAATTTGGCACATTTCAAGGTCAAGTGATGCAGCAAACAGAATCTGACCTCCAACAATATGTCTCCGTCTACTCACCCATCCTCGCAAACACGCGCACACATCACACTTCGCCTGCTGGGAGTTCATCAGCCTTCATCCTAGAAGTCAGCTTGTGCCTTCAGGGAGTGCTCATAGGAGAGATGTGACACCCAGGGGGTGGGGGGGTTGTTCTCCCCTCCCTCCCCACTCCAGCCCCCGCTCCCCACCCCACACGGCTGTGAGAGTGAGGAGGGTGTGTTTTTTAAACCCCATGGATTCACACAGGCACAGAATCCAAGGAAGCCCCGAAATGAACATCAAGTAAAAAAAAAAATTCCAGTTTTCAGAAGTCTGTAATTATGTATTTACATGAATTACATAACCCTGTGTGTATCCGCATACAACCACAAATGACCAAGCAGGTGGCACAATGCCGCCGTGTCAATGGGAGGAGATAGAGTGAAGATGCCAGGAAGCCCCTCGCTCATCTGCAGAAAGGGACCTGGCAGACAGGCTCCCCCACTCTAATCTGGCATGTCCTTCGACACTGCTTGGGGACACTCGCGTGACAGATGGGAGGGTGGTGCAGTCCATCTCTGACCGCGACCCCAATGCTGGCACCAGCAAGGCAGTGGTCTGGCTATCTGAGCATCGGCTTGTGAGGCTGGAGCCCCCTCCCCAAGTGGCTGGGGGCTGCAGGTCTCTACCACAAGACCCCAGGGACGCGGACCCCACTGCCCACAGACCACGCCCACCCCCAGTCAGCATCTCTCCCAGAACGCCTATTGACATGAATTGCATAAGCCAGTGTTTATTTATTTACAGACCATTACAGTTTATTGTATCAATTGCCAAAAGCATATAACATTTTGCTTTTCTTAAAAAAAAAAAAAAAAATAGGTACCAAAACAAAATTAACTCCAAAAGTAGACATTAAAGTAGCATTTTCTAGAAATACTCTTTCCTTTCAGGCGGATCATCTCGGGTCTGCTGCTACTTTAACATTACTTTTGGCTGTCTTCTAAAATCAATTTTTTTCAGTGCTAAAGATTATACCTATGACATCCTAGAAACTTGATTCTTCCCTGTGGTCAAATGTTCAACGTTTTTTTCAGCCAAAAAAAAAAAAAAATTAAATGCCTTTTGGAAAAACTAAAGCCTGAATATGTGCACATTTTAGCAGCAGCAAAGGGTTAAATAATAAATAAGAATACTACTTCATGGGATTAAATGCAGTTTCTGTTTAGAAAGTTTTTAAAAAGAAAGAGGACATTCTGACCTTTACCATAAATCAATTATTTTACAGCACTCTGTCCCCTCCCCAGAATATCTCTTAATTCCAAATATTAGACGTGGTTCTTCCTTTAACGCACACCAGCAGGAGGGCGTGGCCACGTGCTCCGGACTTGGACTGCAGACAGGCCATACACTGTCATGACAAGGATGCGCCTCTAGCACGGAACAGATTTAACTCACCAGTGACACACTTTTATTTGTCATAGAGAATGTGCATCGGAGCAAAACAAAGTTGGAATATTAAACTTTAAAATTAGCTCCACAAATCCTGACACATTTTTCAACTGTCACTTTCAATTTCCCAACACAGCCAACTCGAAAGTGCTCTGTGGAGATGAGAATTTGTTATCAGTTCCTTTTTCTTAAATATTGCTTTAAGAATTTGACTCTTTGCTCCTTAATATATAGTAGGAAATTGTCTCCTTCGCCCAAGGGCAAGTTCCAAAATTATTGCTACTGAAGAAATATGTATCCTTAGGCTTCTCAGTGTAAAATGTTATAAAACCCTTGAAAAAGATATTCTATAGAGTAACCTCCCTCTAAAAATACTGAGCGCTGTGAAGACTGTTTTTAAAAACAAAACACAGTCAAGTATAATGCCTTCTCCCTCACTGTCACTCTTGATCAAGGTTTATTTAGTTCCATTTTGCAAGTTTTACTTGAAGGGTGCTCTGACCACATAATTATAACAGTTCACACCGAAAGTCATTTTCCCTAAGAGATGTTACAATGACCCCTACAGTACTTGTATAATTTCATAGTTGATAGCCAAGTGCACAAATAAAAAGTTTACAAGTATGAGCCTGTTCCTCTGATTCTTGTCTCTTAAAAAAAAAAATTAGTCTGTGCTATGCAAGCTTTTTTTTTTTTTTCCTTTTCTTTTTTTGAGAATTCTAAACCAGTAAACTGTTTGATGTCAGTCCTGCTGTTCTGGAGATGACTGGGTAAAATAAATGCACAGTTATTATGTAGCTTTGGTATCTTCTATGATAGATCTAAACAAGTAAGACACAGGCCAACCCTCAGGCTTTCCAATCATGCCATTACAATAATGGTGTCACTTATGAGAGAGGAAATATTACAGACACAGAATAAAAGTTTGAGACCCAGTTTTTCTTTAATCCTCTGGGGTAAGCTATGGAACAAGCAGTCTGAAGAGTGAATACTCAGTGTCAGAAGTCATGTGCATAAGTATACAATAATACGGGCACAAAAGAGATTGTCGCCTTGAGTACATTGGGGTCATCAGTGTCCCAGATCCATGCACTGTTAGAGCTACTTGCATGAATTTACCACAGGTTCATAGCGGACTTTGCCATTTAATGCTTACAGAACCTAAAGCTTCCAAAATGCCTATCTGGCCTGTACATATTTCATTAAAAATAAACTCTATATAATAAATAAATATATAAAATAAATAAAATGTCGCCTTTGGAATTTCTATAAATAAATTTAACTTTTTTTTCTTTTTTTTTCTCTTTTTTTTTTTTTTTTTACTAAGAGGTCTTTGCTTTAAGTTCACTGGGCTGACACCAGTGAGAAGGAACCGAAATCGTCTTTGAAGTAAGACCGCACCCTCCATGCCTCTGAGAATGCAGCTAGCCCCCCGCGGGCCGCTGGCCAGCATCCTGACGCGTCGAGGGGTGGGCGGCTGGGCGGAGACGGGATGAAGGGACAACGGGCCGAAATGTAAAAGCGTGTCTATTTCCAGCATGCATGGGGCCGCGGTCCTCCGGGCTCTGGCTTCCCTCCGGCGCCCCGCCTCACACACTCACACACTCACACCCCTCTCTCTCCTCTTCGGTCATGGGAAATCGAGCAAGCGGCCCCAGGCGGCCCTCCGGGAGGACCAGCCTTTAAGTGCAGAACAAAATCAGCATGTTCCCATCCAAGCCTCCATCATACATCATGCATGCGACAAAGTTTGGCAACAGTGGAGCTGATGGATGACACAGCTAATCAGTAAGAACCCACCGCGGGAAACCTTTATAGTGGTTACTCTGTTAAGGGCTCAAGTGAAGAAACCGTCTTTGTCAACTTTGGCTTAGAATATCCTTATATAGTTCGGGGACTTTGTCAGGGTCCACGGGCCTAGGTAAAAAATGTGTGAATTTCTGGTGCCTCTTAGTCCTGGTTCCCTCTCTTGGAGTCCCGTCTTTATTTAATGCAACATAGTATCGCCTTCCAGTGTCGGCGTGCTTATATAGGTTGGATGAGTACGTGTTATACCAGTTTTCTTCGAACTGTTCTCTGAATACACACTCTTGGGTTAGTTTTTCCTGTAAAAGAAAAAAAGAAAGAAAGAAAAAAGAAGATGTAAATAAACATACCGCAAAATTAGCTACTTTTTAGATTAAAAGTAATATGCCACGGCTACGCAATATAACCCTTGTGAGAAAACACTGATTTTCAATCATCTTAATGCATTTCACAAAAACTCTATCAACTTCACTGCATTCTCGTTTTTTATTCATAACGACCAAAGGGCCAGAGACTCTAAATCAGGCCCACAGCCCGCGGGCCGCATGCAGCCCAGGACAGCTAACAAGGTGGCCCCACAGAGTTTGTTAACATCATGTATTCTTAGCATTTATTTTCTTCATGACCCCACGCGTAGTTCCATTTCTGATGTTCAAAGCCACTCCTCATTCATGACGTCGCTTTTTGGCAGTGCGTAACATCTGTGGGCAGCTGTTTTCAATGATGAAGCCCATAAGGAGCAAAATTCAAACACACCTTTCTGACGAGCACCTTGAGAACTCACTAAGAACTGCGACCACTTCCATCGAACCAGACGTGGGAATAGATTAGTTTTACCAAAACAAGGTCAAATATCTCACTACTTTTATAGCGTTCTCATTTTTCTAAACTTGGTAATTTAAAAAAAAAAATTTAAAAAAGAAACCGTTTTATGTATATACACTAACTATACTATGGAATTTATATGTAGCCCGAGACAATTCCTCTTTACTTGATGCAGCCCAGGGAACCCAACAGGTTAGACCCCCCATGCTCTAAGTATTTTTTAGTTAAACTCCTTCACTTGCCAATTATCGGAATGAATCAAATGCCAAGACAACACACTTGACGGCCTGTCCCCATTTGTATGACGACAGCTACACGGTGACCAGTTTGGGAGGGAATGTCTTCCTGGAGCAAAGGCATAGGTGTGTTTTTCATAAAGTACGTGCTATGGAGACCGACACTGGAAACCCCACCACCACCACCTCAGTGAGGCCACTTTCTGCCCTTGTTAGCAGTGGCATTTATTTCTTACTCTGAGTGATTTACAAACCTCCGTGTGCAATTGGGTCACCTCAGATGCTTTTCCAAGATGCAGACTCCTGAGTCACCAACTCTGTAAAACTCTATCCAGAAATTCTCAAAATATACATTTTTGAACAGGCCCCCTGGACGAATTCTGATCATCCTCAGTCCACCTTTAAAACATAATGCTCCTATCATGACAAAGTGGGTCTTCCCAAATACAAAGTTTAAACAAATATTCTGGCCTTCCTGTTTTCTTCAATTTAGTTAGGAGAAGAGACCTCCAACTTTGAAGGCCAAGTTCTTGGGTACACAGATACCCAGAGGAAAACTGCTTGTTTCTATGCATCTAGACCAAAAAGGTTCCCCATCTTCCTAGATGGTTTACACTCCCCTCCACTGAACTCTATGAAAGTCAGTGTCCCCCTGGAGCCCATGACCCAGGGCTCCTGCAGCTGTAATGCTCGTGGCCAGTAACGACCAGAAATAACATACACACCACATCCCAGAGTCACAGGCTCCTTCCAGGCAGGACCTGTGTGCAGCTAAGCGCAGCCCCAGGAAGCGGGCAAAGGATTCGCTGACGTTTCTGCTCTTCTCAGCACTCAACTGACACTCAAAATCAACACCTTCCTAGACAGCGCTTTAGAAAAGTAAATACCAAAATGACTTTGCACTTATCTACCTGACACATAAATAAGAAAACAAATAAACAGACACAACTGGAGAGCGCTGGACACGCTTCCCTTTCTTTCAGACCTAGAGGATGGATAGCAAATTTACTACGTACTCAAAATACAGACATCCTTTCTCCACACACATAGTTACCTCAGGACACAATTTAATACACTGAATTCATAGATGTCATGGAGTAGAATCTGTCATGTCCAACACTCATGCGGTGAATCAGGACAGCAAGGGAGCACAGAGAGAAACGGGACAAAGCCCATCAGCAGGTCGCTGAGGAAACCTTCTCCACATCCCCTCCCAAACCCAAGGACTCAGCAGCCCCCCAGGCCTGAACCCCCGAGATGCACTCTTCCAAGTGGCCAAAAGCCCTGGGTTGGTTTCTAGCAAGGCACCATCTCACTGCACAGATTTCTGCTAAGTGAGTTGAAATGGGGGAAAACAAAAAAGAAAAAAGATATTTATTTTGCATACACAGCATGCCCTTGCATCAGGTAAGGACCAAAGTGGTGGGAAAATGCTAGACTGCTGGTGTTGGGTTTACAGGGGAAAACGAATCCCCTGCCCCACTCGAAGCCTAGAGGCATCCCCAGGGGAAGGCAAACATCCCCTGTGCTGGGGAGATAAGGCCAATGGGATCTCTCTCCCATCCTGCCCCTGTTAAAACCGATCATATTCTTAAAATGCGTTAAAGACATTTGTGGCTATTTTAGTCTCTGCTTTCATTTGCATCATAAATGGTGTCCTCACTGGCAAGACCACTCCTGGCTAAAAATAGCTGGTTTGGGTTTGCTACAATCAAGTAAAATTTCTAAACAAATTATGTGCATTTCTGTTGTTCATTAACAAAATGGGCCAAAGTGTGGGCGTGGATGCCGGGCCTTCAGTTCTACAAAGGACAGGAAAAAACTGATTCCAATAAAGCTTTTTTTCAGCAGGAAACCACATCACCTAAGCCCCATGAAACTACCTTTTGTTTTTAAAAAGCAGAAGCGTCCTCCTCTTGTGACACTCCGAGCTAGGTGTGAGTCCTTATTTCCTTTACATACACAGCAACCCACAGCACAGTGGACTTTCTTGGGTCAGAAATAGACCACACGGAAGTCTCAGCAGAAGGTAGTATGTCTACATGGTGGGGAAGACCCAGCTTGGGAGCCAGAGGGCTACTCAGATCCCAGCTTCTCCTCTCCCGGGCAGTGGAACACCTATAACTAATCATGTCACCTCTCCAGCCTCCATGGCCTCAGCTTTAAGACAGGCTAGTCATCAGAGGCTGAGGCCAGGCACTGTGGCTCTCACCTGTAATTCCATCACTTTGGGAGGCTGAGGTAGGAAGGCTGCTTGAGACCAGGGGTTTGAGACCATCCTAGGCAATATAACAAGACCTTAACTCTACAAAAAAAAAAAATCAGCAGGGTGTGGTGGTGTGCATCTGTAGACCCAAGAGGCTACTCAAGAGGCTGAGGTGGGAGGATTACCTGAACCCTGCAAGTCAAGGCTGTGGTGAGCCATGAATGTGCCACTGCACTCCAGCCTGGGAAACAGAGTGAGACTCCGACCCAAAAAAACAGTAAGTATCCTGAGACAGGGTTGTGACAAAGATGCGATCAGAGAACAGCGCTGAGCACAGAGGAAGCCCCCAACAGACAACAGTGTTGTTGATATGATGTGAACCCCACAGCCTCTTAGAACTGGAATATAAACCCTGGAAGACGGCGAACGTGACTTTTCCAGTTAAATGCATGGCACAGCACGGCCCAGAGTGAAGTGATTTTGCCCTGGTCTATGCCACAGGATCTTGTTATGACGGAACAAGGCCACGGAGCAAGAAGCTTCCAGAGCCATCCTGGAGCCGCCACACTTGAGTGGGCCCTTTCCGTCTCCCCCTTTCTCTAAGAGGTGTGATTCCTGTCACCCCATCCCAGGGTACTGGTTCCAAGGGGCAGGTGCTGGGGAGGGGAGATCGCAGGTCAACGCCAGGGTTGGCAGGCCACACTCAGGAGTGGAGGTAGTGACTCTCCTTAGAGTTGTAGGTACCTCTTTATTCATAAGGTAACTTTTTGGCTGGGCGTGGTGGCTCACACCTGTAATACCAGCACTTTGGGAAGCTGAAGTGGAAGGTGGATCGTTTGAGCCCAGCAGTTTGAGGCCACTCTGGGCAACACAGCAAGACCTCATCTCTATAAAAAAAATAAAAATAAAAAAATTAGTCAGGCAGGGTAATGCATGCCTGTAGTCCCAGCTACTCGGGAGGCTGAGGTGGAAGGAAGGATCAACCGAGCCCAGCAAGTGGAGGCTGCAGTGAGCCGTGACTGTGCTCCTGCCTGGGTGACAGAGTGAGGCCCCGACTCAAAACGCTACCGCGTTCATTTAACGTCACGTAAACATACTCTTGGAGTCTGAAGCAAAACGGAGTGGTTTTCCATGTGAAGACAAAATTTAAAAACTGTTGTTAGAGTTATTTCTTTCTTTTTTTTTTTTTTTTTTTTTGAGCTGGAGATTCACTCTGTCGCCCAGACTGGAGTGCAGTGGCCGCTCCTGGCCACCGCAGCCTTGACCCGCTGGGCTCCGGCGATCCTTCCGCCTCAGCCTTCCGAGTAGCTGGAATTGCAGGCATGTGCTACCATGCTGGCTGATTTTTTGATTTACTGTAGAGATGAGGTCTCGCTGCCCAGGCGGGTCTCGAACGCGCGGGCTCAGGCAATCCACTCACCTCAGCCTCCCAAAGGCACGGGATTACAGGCTGAGCCACCAAGCTGGCTTTTTCTAAACAGAACCTGTCTCTAATCCTAATGAGAATTACAAAAATAAATAAATAAAGGAGGAGGAGACGACGAAGAGGAAGAAGAAGAGGGAGGAAAAAGAAGGGAAGGAGGAAAATTGCCGTAGCTTATAATTCTCTCTTTTTTTAATCTCGGGGTAAACACTACAGCCGCAGGCACCCCCCTCAGGTCAAACAGGAAAGGGTTAAAGACTGCGGAAAAATTCCTTTTTAAAAGTGAACAAGCTAAGACCTGAACTGGTCTTTTCACTGCCCAGTTAACACCGCCCTTTTTCCCTGGCAGGCTATTAGAACGTCGTTCACACACACGTGATAGAACTTTCTCGGCAACCCAAAACATAAAGTGAATTATTCCATTTAAAACAGTGTAACCTACAGCCAGCACTTTTCACGATGGCCAAGGGTCCAGTCATCGAATCCACGGGAGGGCTGTACGACTTCAGTTAACGACTTAAAGGAGATTGTGCAGACGTCACGTTGCAAAACCCCCGGTACATTTCAGGCCCTGTAATTGCACCAATGACGCCCTCCTGATAAGCTTGC